AATGCTATGAAATTTTATATTTAGCATGATTTTTTTTTTTAAGAGAAACTTTATTTTTAAGCTTATTTTCCTTTTCTTATTAGGTTTGTCTAATGTTTTAGTTTTCCTTTTATTATAAATAATATGTAATGGAAAAAGTAGAGTCAATCAATCTTTTATCAATAATATTTCAGAATTCTTTATGAATTTATCTCTTATTTTGTGGATTCAAAACACTTCAAAATAACCTGTTCCATGTGAACAATCTTTTACTTTCCGCCACGTCAGCAAAGCAGGACATGCCACTGAAATTAGATCACCTCAGAAGATCAAAAACATGATGCAACCTAATTTTTAATGTCTAAACTTGACCGTCAAGAATGAAAAGAAAATTATATATCATGTCTTGACAGTCAGAAATGAAAAAAAAATTATATTACAATCATGCAAAAAAGGGCAACCTATGAGATTATTCTGAAACTACCTAGTGAATAACAACAAAATTAAAAAATAGCATATATTTGTATGTAATGAAAAACTGGGCTACTGAAATTCAATGAGAGTGAATGAGGTAACCTGGTGCTAAAAGTTATTATATGGTAACATATAAATGGTTTCATAAATTGTTTTAAACACAAATTAGATTTTGTCTATATTTGTTAAAAGTGATAACACACATCATACTTGAACAATTGAATGATATAGTAACAGTTAATAAATAAGTGAATAAAACGGTTAGAATCTTTTAGCTTTCATATGGTCAATCTTTTAGCTGTTGGATTTTAAATATTTTGTGATTTGATAATTAATCAAATTTGAAAAAAAAATTGACAAAATTAGTTGAAAATAATTATAAATAAATAAATAAATAAAAGATAAAAAATGATTTTATTTTTATTTATTTGTTAAGTTAAACCTTGAAAAATACATTAAAAAAATTAAAGTTAAATAAATCTATTTTTCATTTAAATTCTTAACATAATCATCTCAATTTTTAATACCCTCAAATAACTTACTTCTCAGCTCTCAAATTTTGAGTATTTGTGATTAAAACTTAGTGTTTAAAAGGATAAATTTTGCTTAGTTGTGTGGTTTGTGAGTTTTGCAGAATATTTAAAAAGTTTTGTATTTTTAAAAACAGATTAGTGTCTTTGTAATCTTTACTTATTTTAGCAATTAAATAATTAATCACATGCAAAATAAAATAAAGCAAAGTAAGAGTTAGAGATGACACCAAGATTTTTAGCGAAGAAACCCCAGTTAATAAAATAGATCAACTGTTTACGTGGAAAAATTTCGTGAACTGTGTAGTTTAAAGTAAACCAATCCACTATGTATGAAACAAAGTACACTGAACTTTGACTCTAACTCATACCCTATCGTTCTACTAAATACCAATAGCTGACAACAATATGGCTTTGCAACATCCCATCCAACAGCACTTGACCTCATAGCAGGTAGATCAAACAACACTCCACGATTTCTTTGACCCTTTTAAAGTGTGATAGCTTTTACTTCTGTTCTTCAATATCTAAATTCGATGTAGAAGTAGATCTACTTTTCTCTGATCGTTGCAGATGCAAGACTTTGATCACGATCAGGATTTGAACAGCACTCAAAACTCACTCTTGTGTTTATATGTATGTTCTAGAAAGACTGACAGAGAAATCAACTTGGATTTTCTACAAAAATAATATTCCTAAGGCTTTTATGAAATATGAAGTTGTAAAGCAAAAGCCGTACTAGATGACTATCAAGGTTTATATAGAATTTTCAAAGACCTAATCCTTCAGAAAATAAAGAAAATTTCGTGCATAGGACTTTCGGTATAATTCTAAACCAACTAGGAAATAAATCAGAACATAATTACAAAGTTACCAAATCCTGTAGAAGACCTTGAACCGGTTCAAGAAAAGCTGAACTGGTTCAAGAATCGCAATGAAAATTCGAAGTAATTTTGAAGAGCTTCAATCAGTTCAAGTGTGCCAGACTTGAATCCTAAGGTTCTGAAGGTTTGAAAACACTATTTTGGTAAGGTCTGAAAATATACCAAGTATGAAACGTGTCCTAACCTTTTTAGATTTCTTCCTAGTCCCTAGTTGGTCTATGCTCTTTTGGATACCCTTTTGTGTAATTTCACACACATGCAAGTGTTAGCATACTTTATTTTCTTTTGAAATTGTAATATATAGCTTGGTTTTAACATGTCATTTTTACTTTGAAATATGTAATGTGTACATAAGTACACATTTTGAGACACTTTTTATATGTATGATATGTGGCCAAGGGCCAAACATCATTTAGTTACATGTATACTCTTTGGTTTTATGTTTTACTTTTGAAAGAAACTTTATGGACTTTAGAGGTTTGATAGGTGACATTTAGTATTGGGTATGCGTTGAGGCCGTGGGCCATTGAAGCGGGTGTAAAAATGCATATTACATTTGTGTGTATGTTCACTTTTACACACAACATCACATTTGATGAATTAACGCTTTATGTTTCAAGTATTTTCATTATTTTGTAAAAATATGCACATAAGGGCATTTTGGGTATTTCACGTGAAAAATAAGATTTGGCTTTGACATGGTCATGTAGAAAATCACATTTTAAGGTGGGTTTTCTTCACAACTTTTTCTAAAAAAAAATCGTTTTGATATCAAAAATCGGTCGTAGCTGCAGAAAATTTGGTGCAGCGTACCAATTTCTACAGGGCACTTTTAAATTTTGGCTTTTGTTTCCAAGACTTTGAGGTTCAATATCTTTGTCATTCGGACTCCAAATCAGGCGATTCTTGAGTCTAACTTTACAAAGACCATTTTACCCCTAGGGTTGTAATTAACCTTTTTAAAACATCGCTTCTGCATTTGTTTCCTTCTGAGTTCCGTAGCTTCATGAGAAGTTACTTTGGCATCTTAGGGATGATGTACATCTCTAGAGACCATGGTTTAGTCATTTGTTTTTGCATCTCGGACCCGTTATTGGGTCAACTTTTGGGTCATCATTGACGCACCAGGTTTGTAAAAACCAAGGCCTACACATTTATTTTCTTGATTAAGCTTCACGGATAGCTGTGTTTGAGCTAATGTGTAGATTACAGGTTGCTACAAGTGTAGTTGTGTTTGAGCTAATGTGCATATTACAGGTTGATACAAGTGTTGAAGCTTCATGAGGTTCAAGAAAATTTCCGCGGTTTATTTTCTTTAACAATCATTGAATTTTCTTTTTCTGCTTAGGTAGATTTCATGTTTTTAGGGTTTTGTCATGAAATTGCCAAAGGGGGAGATTGTGAGATGTATATTTTGTAATTGGCTAATTTCGTTGTCAAAACAAGTCCGATCGAGTTGTAATTTTTCGATTCAAAATTTCAAGATTGAAGATCGAATGCGGATTTGAAGAAGTACAAGTGTTCATGATATACTACACTTCGAGATGATGAGAACAATGCTTTAGGAAGTTTTGAAAGGTAGTGAGAACATTTTGGAAGAGCTTGGAAGTTTTTCTCGGAAGAAATACATTCTGTCCATCTTGAACTGGTTCAAGATTTAAGGAACAAGTTCAGCATCAGCAGAATTGAGAAACCTTCAAGACTGGCCATCTTGAACCGGTTCAGCACCCTTGAACTAGTTCAAGAATCAAAGAAACCCTTCGAATAATTTCTGGCCATCTTGAACCGGTTTAGAACCCTTGAATTGGTTCAAAAAGTCCTGACAGCATCAGAATTTTAGTTACCTTTTACTGGTTGTTTCTTTTTTGATCCCAACCTCTTTCCAAGTCCTATGCATGAAATTTTTTATATTTTCTGAGGGTTTAGGACATTCTAAATTTTATATAAACCTTGTTAGTCATCTAGGTTTATTCATGGCTTTAAGGAACATCAATTATATATTTTGAGAAAGCCTTTTAGAGAGAGAAAATTCAGAAAATCAAATTTGATTATTCTGAATTTATTTTTGAGAGCATACACATATATTCATGAGTGATTCGTAGTGTTGTTCTCTATCTCATCGGAATTGGAGTTATATTGAATATTCAGAGATTCCGAGAAAAAGCAAGATTTAATTCTTCTACATCGAGTTCAAATTTTAAAGAACAGAAGTAAAAGCGATTACACTTTAAAAGGGTCAAAGCATTCGTAGAGTGTTGTTTGATGTACCTATACTCTTCTACAAAGATCAAGCATAAGCCTGAGGTCAAGTTGCTATTGGACGGAACGTCGCAAAGCCAGAAGATTGTCAACAATTGGTGTTTGGTAGAACGATAAGGTGTGAACTAGAGTCAAAGTTCAATATATTTTGCTTCAAATATAGCGGATCGGTTTACATTGGACTGTATAGTCCACGAGGTTTTTCCCATGCAAATAGTTTGACGTATTTTATCAATTGGGGTTTACTTGCTAAAAATCTTGGTGCAATCACTCTAACCTTAACTTGTTTTACTTTTCAGTATTTATATTTTTTATTGTGGATGGTTCATAAATTGAGCAAGTTGACCTAATAATCATATCTAGGTCATTAAAGGAGTTGATCACAATTAAAATCAACTAATAGCTTCCGCACCCCGCGTTAACACTATTTTCACATAATTTAAAGTGGGAATGGTCATTCCATTAAAATAAAAATCCATTTCATAACTCTTAACCTATGGAATGACCATTCCATTCCCAAGTAATTTTTTTTTTTTTTTTTTTTTAAAAAAAATCGAGTTCCCAAAAAAACCTTCATCCTCCAAGTCCAAAAACCACCACCACCCCAACCATCTCTGACTTTCACCATCACCACCACCTCCATTGCCTTCCACCATCGACATTGCCACCATCACCATTGGTGCCATCTTCATCCACCACACCGCCGCTGCCTCCACTGCCTTTAGCCACCGCCACCTCCACTGTGGCCACCACCTTTCACCACAACCATCGCTGAATTTTACCATCACCACCACCTCCATTGCCTTCCACCACCGGCAGTGCCACCACCACCATTGTTGCCACCTTCAAACACAACACTGCCGCTACAACCAGCATGGCCATCATCACCACCAACTTCCACCACTGCCACCACCACTACCTTCCACCACCATCATTACCGCCACCACCACTGCTCTCACCATTATCGTCACCATTGTCACCGCCACCTTCCACCGTCACTGCCGTCTTTTACCACTGTAGCTGCCTTCCTCCATCATCACGTTGCCGTCTCCACTACCTTTCGTCGCCACTGCCACCAACACTATTACCGCCACCAACTTCCATTACCACCGCAACCACTTCCACCTCCACCGCCACCACCACCGCCATTGACTTCCATCACCGCCACCACCACCGCCACCTTTACCTCCACTGCCATCAACTTCCATCACCACCGCCATCGCCGCCACCACCTTCACTGGCTTTCACAGCCTTCTACCACCACTACTGACACCTCCCCTTCCTTCCACCACTGCCACCATTTACCACCACTTATACCACTATCGTCTTCCACCACCACCACACCACTGCCATTGCCTTCCACCATTACCACCACCGCCGCCATTGCCATTGCCTTCTACCAACACACTACTGCCTTCTACACCCCTTACTGTCGCTTTCCAACACCACTGCCTAAACCACTACCGCTTTCCACCACCACCACCATTAACTACCGCCGCCATTTCTTTTAAAAAAAAATATTAAAGAAGAATGTTATTTTGTCAATTAAAATTATTTGTCACTAACAGGTGTATTTTAGAGAATTTAATTTGAAATACATTTTTTTCTAAATTTTACATTAGTCCATTCCAACAGGTTTTATATTTGTACCAAACAATAGAATGAGAACGACCATTCTATTCATATTCTCAATCCATTTTCACTTACATTCTATTCTATTTCTGCACACCAAACGCAACATTAGTGTTTCAAAAAAAAAATTTGTTTAGTTAGGTGCAGGGACAGACCTATTAGCAAGTGAGGGGGACAATTGGCCCCCTGAAATTTTAATTTTTTATTAATAAGCTAGCCTTGCTATTTTTTCCTTTTTTCAATATATACGCCTAAAATATTGCTAATATCCCTTTAAAATTATTACAAAATTTCAGTCTTGCCCCCTAAAGTTCTAGGTCCGTCCTTAGTTGGATGGTTTACATGTAGTTAATGATTTAGAGTTTAATTATGATTTGTACTATTTTGCATAATCTGTTAATTTTAGTTCGAACCAAATATGGGCTTTATCTATGGGTTAATTTTTACTCTCTCTAGGGAAGTTTTGCTGTCTGTGAAATTTAATCAGGTAGTAATTGATATAGATTGGCCTCCTTGGCTCGTTAAATTAGCATAGGCTGGTTGTAATTCTTAGGCTTTGATTTAAAAAATTGACAAGAAGAAGAAAAAAATAAACAGACATATTGCAACTAAATTAGACATGTAAACCATTTAGTAAATTCATATATATATATATATATGTATACGCACACTTCATACTTAATTTATAAATAATATATATATATATATATATATATATATATATATTATTTATATATATATATTATTTATAAATTAAGTATGAAGTGTGCGTATACATATATATATATATAGTTGTCCGAATTACTTAAATACTAATTCAGCAATTATCTTATTGAAGTGGGCCAAGTTGGCCAACGAACTCTTCACACTATATAAGCTTTTGTTCAGAATCGCATGTATCTTTGAATGTGACATATATATATATATATATATTATTTATAAATTAAGTATGAAGTGTGTGTATACATATATATATATATAGTTGTCCGAATTACTTAAATACTAATTCAGCAATTATCTTATTGAAGTGGGCCAAGTTGGCCAACGAACTCTTCACACTATATAAGCTTTTGTTCAGAATCGCATGTATCTTTGAATGTGACAACTTTTAAGTATATTACAAATTTGAACAATATGAAAATAAAATGCAGATGAAATGAATGTTCAGTTCATTATTTTATTGTTTTTAATAGGATTACATATATTGTGAACCAAGATATGGTTTTAAGCATTTCTGTAATTGCATTTGAGGGATCGCAGCGAGAGTTATATATTCACATTGATAATATTCTTTAACTAATATCTTTCATATCTACACTTTTTGTTTACATGTATTTTACAATTAATTGGAGAATACTAAAATTAATACCTGCTATGCAGAAAGTTCTAATCTAGACAATTTGACCCAAGACAAGTACTAACTCAGAGGATGTGACTCTCCCTGACGATCCATACAACAGAACAACAGCGAACTCAAACATAGAAATACGATTCATCCAATATTAGGTGTTTTTTGATAATTGAATTTTTGTAAAACACGCAAAACTCTGAATCCAGTCGTGTATTTTTTCTAGTTAAAATTTTCTAACCAAAACATATTACGATAATTGAAACTTTTATCATATTTTCTTTCTGTATTCATATTCCTTCCATGTTTATAGTGTTAAATTTATTTATTGCAATTAAAAAGAATTATTGTAGATATAAATAAGCAACGCAATCCAAATATAACATATTGAAACTTCCAACAAATAGAAAAACGGGCATGAAACCTAATTAAAAATAAAAACATAAGCCACAAAAAACTATGGAATTAGTTTCTTCTCTCTTGATTGCATCACACTTTAAATACATGCATTGCAGGTCAAAAATAACAAAAGCCAAATATAAACTAACTAGGTTATAATGAATTTTGCTTTAAACTGTTAACATAATCCCCTTTGTGGATGTCATCCAAGCTCCAACTGTCATCCTGGCATTGTCATCGAATCAAAGCTCAAATTAATAAATTTAACTGCACAACGCTGAACAACAGTACGAAAATCCTTGCCTTTTGAGTTTTTTCTAGTCCTTATTTGACAATTTCTAGGTTTCTCTAGCCTTCATTTGAACAACGTTGTAATGAGAACAGGTTCATAAGATTCCATTACATGGTGCTTATCTTCTTTAAACGAATTCTAAGAAAGGAGACCACAAAATCAAAGCCTTCCAGTACTGACTACGTTCGAAATATCTAAGATTTTTAAGCTGGTACTCGAAATGCATATCAACTGTCAACAACAAAAATCTATGAAATTGAATTGAGACATAAATTGATTATGCTCGGCAAAAGATCATGTCTTAATTTGACAATCAAAAATGAAAAGAAAATTGTATGATCATGTTGTAGTTTGACAATCAAAAATGAAAAGAAAATTATCCGTTGAGACTGGTGTCGCCTCAAACCAAAGCATGCAAAAGTGTAGTGTGGCCAAGTTTAAATTTATGAAATGTCACTACACTTCTAACTAAAAATATAGTTAGAGTGAGTACGAATCGTCCCAGGGGATTGGAATCGTACTTTTGCTTGGAAACAAGATCGAATTAGTAGGTCGAGTGATCAAAAAGGTGGTTTGATTGCTTAATTAAACTACAATTTTAACTAAGTGAAAGCAATGTGAAACAACTAAATTAAGTAAAGTATAGAGAATAAGAGAAAGGTCTTGGGACCTAGAGTTCACCACTAAGCACTACCTTCCTAGACATTCAATATTTATTGGATAAAAGGGAAACATGTGTTCTAAATGAAATTATGTGCAATTGATTGAAATAATAGCATGGATGACTAAGTATACATTGTCTAACCAATCTAGTGAATAGCATAACATATCAAGTTAAGCCATTATTCCTTCCTTTAAGCTCTCAATCAATACACACGCACAATTTAGAGAAATATGCTACTTGCATTCATAAGTATGGAACATCAAACAACAAGCATGGATTGTCATCTCATCTAAGAAAGTAAAGCAACTACACTACAACTAAGCTAGGGACACGAAAATTAAACTAAGTAAACTAAAGAAGAGGCACAATCCATTAAGAAATGAGTATGAACCATTAAATAAACCATAAGAGTATTGCATTTAAGCACCATGCCTTGACCATCACTAGATTCATAGCATCAATACACATAGACATGCATTAATATCACAAAACTAAAGATAAACACATGAACATCTATTCTAGCATATATAGACATATGAATAGAATTACATGATCAATTGAAAGTATTAAACTACACAAATCATGGTAGAAACAAGATTTATATATATCAAAGATCAAGACAAGAATTACAATGCCAATCCCCATTAATTACAAAACATCAAAGTCTAGGAGGCATGCTTAGGGCTATCTCTAGCCCCAAGACAATGGTTTAGCCACTCATTGATGTTGTCATCCAACCCTCAAGGGCCATCTCCATGGTTGAAATGGTCTTCTTCTCCTTGATGGAAACCTTAGATAAGTGGAAGAACTCTCAAATGGTGTGTGTCTCTCTAATCTCTAGACTCCTCCAACCTCTCTTGTATATTGTTTCTCTCCAAGATTGTATATGTGTAAAATGGCTCAAAATTCTTATATAAGTAGCTCAAGTATCACACCCAATGGTTAGACCTCGTGCACTAGGACCTCCAAATAATTGCACTACGAGCACACCTTTTAATTACTTGAACTCTGCTTTTCTCGCACTTGAGAAAGTTCGATCGATCAAACTATGGCGGCGCCTTTTTGGAATAAGACAAATCTGAGATATTTTTGAAATATTTAGGGAAAAAGACAAAAGTGGTAGGTGGGGATAAGGTCAAGGATGTTCGATCGATCAGAAGAAATGTTGGATCGATCGAAGATGGGAATTTCCTGAGGATAAGAACAAAAGGCTCGATCCATCTTGAAATGGTTGGAACGATCACTGTGTGACTGATTGAAGCTTGGTGTGATCGATCGAAGAATACTACTTTCCACTTCTTTGCTTCCACTTCGCTCATTTCTTCCATTGAGCTTGAGATTGCTTCTTTTATGCTCTAATTCAGCTAGATTAACTTATTTTGGGGATAAGTGCCTGAAAAGGGCAATAACACGAAATTAGTCTAAAATGGAAAAATAAGATAGATAAGGGTCCTAAAATACTTAAGCTTAAGGGGTTTAAATGCGCACTTTTCAGCGCTCATCACACCCTCAACCTTAAATATTGCTAGTCCCTACTAATGAACTACTAAGTAAATGAATGAAATGAACAACTAAACAATTATGGACTAGAAAGTAATAAATGGATAACGCCACTTTCGTAGGGAACATGATTGCATTTAGCACAAGCAACAAGCCTTTTAAACCCCTAGGTTACCCTTAGTGAATGAGTGAAATCTCATGAGGGTTTTTAGAAATGATACCCACAAACATTAAGCTCATTCTCACAAAAGAGGCACCAATATTGCAACCAAGCATTGAGAGAAAACTACCTCAAGTACGCAATTTTTCAACCATTTCCAAGCAATCTCCCAAAATCTCAATATCAAGCAAACAAGTATGGTCCTCCACACATCAAGAAAATGATCATGCAAATCAAAACAACTTTAGAATCCTTTTTGAGTAAACCGGTATCAA